GGGGAGGGGGGAGGAGGACGATTTTTCACCTCACCTTCTCTCTTCGCCACTACACCCGCTTGGGCAGTTCCAGACCCACCCTTCACTCGTCGCATCACCCCCTTCCCTCTCTCCTCCCTCGGTCGTTCCATTAATCCCCCCTCCCCTCCCTCGAAGGTTGCTGGAGGGGGACGACAGAGGGTATCGAGCAGACTTTTGTGCAGTAAAACAATTGCTGCCTAACACACTGGGGGGAGGGGAGGGGTAGGATCCCCCAATGAATTCATCAGAATGCGCCGTAACGGCAGTAAGTCATACTGTTGGGAACCGAAAAGCTATGTATTTTTCATTAGCTTTGTCTTGAAAGCCGTGACCTGCGTTTGCGAAACACTGTTGCTGGCCAAAGTAAAAAGGCGAAACGCTGGTGGTGGAGTGATGGAGCGACGAAAGTTGTACTATCTTTTTTCAACCACATAAACCGCTTATGATGTGGCAAATAAGTAGCTAGCGGGTTGTTGTTTTAATTACGCGCTGACGTAAAATTGAGCAGAACTGACATACGTGCACATGAAAATTTCGGCATAAAAATTTTTAAGTTGGGAACCGAAAAAGCTAAAAAGCTGGAACTCTGGAAGGATGTTTTTTACCATACTGAAATTCAGCTTTCATGTGCGTCTGGATTTCACGCACGACTATGAAAGGCTTAGTTCGAAAATTACTCGGGAACTACAAATGTTAGAAAGCTAAAATTTTACGAGGGTGTTCAATGATTATGTGCAGCTCAAAGATTTCAAATTCTCTTCTTACGTTTATGTAGATCTCATGCATGAGCACGTACCTCTGACCGGAAAAAAATTAACGCTGAAAAAACCAGTGTCCGTGTGCGACGCCGAGGATTTTAAACTCAGCTTCCACATATGCCCATGTTTCGCGTATGAACGCGTGCATTTCAAGAAAATGTTTCTGTCTGCGTGCAACTCCGGGAATTTTGGATTGATTTCCGTATATACCTAAATCTCACAGGCGGAAAAATACAATTTCTAGTCGAAATTGAAATAGTGCAAATCAAATAGCCTGAAATTACTCGCCAGCGTTCAATATATCTTAACCTGTGGCTTCAGGTTTGAAGCACTGGAGAATTTTCAGAATGGAATAAGCAAAAACCCTGAAATAGTGGGTTAGTGGTTCTACATTCCGACAATGTGTGTACTTGCCAAATAGCAAAGCAGTGAACTTTTTAATAGGAGACATCCGCACAAAATTATGATCATCCCAGCCAGCTTTGCTGTTCATATTCAGTTTCCTGATAACAGTGGCAGAGAGAATTTACAGGCTTTTATAGTAGCGCGCTGTCTCGCTCGACTTAATTATAGGTTTTCAGGCGCACATACTATACGGTCATCACAACATGTACATCTATGCATGTCATTGCTGTTTCGAAGGTTTCACATCACTGGAACAGTTGAAGAGTCACTGTTGCCAGGAATTTGGCCAATACATGTTTCAGCTGTTACTTGATGAAGAAAAGGTTTTTTTTTTTCACTATAACGCATATGAGAGGCAGAAGCACAGATAGGAGAATCATAGTTTAACAAGCAATTTGGTACAGTTTCTTTTATAAAAAATAAGGAAAAAGGAAATTAAGGGGAATCATATAAAGCGCCGCCATTTAAGTTAACCTGAAGTTGTATGAATTGAGTTTGACAGTTGTATTTATTTAACCTGGAAAGTTAACGCGATGTGCTGTCGTAATAGGATTATGCATATTGGTAGATTGCCAACTAGTTTGACTCTGCGTCGATGGTTGGTACACCATTTTTTTTTTGCTGTCAGCTGTGCTGGAAAAGATTATCTTATAGTTCTTGGTTTTTAGTCTAGCTGCTTTTTCATATTCACTATTTGTCCGATAATCAGTTTTTTTTAGTTTGAAATGAAATCTGCTATGCATACGCTGGTATGTGCTGAATGCAATTTACAAGTGTGCATGTCATCGCTGGATAAAGGAGATGGCGACAAGTTAAAAGCATTGCGTCGTTTGCTGGTTTGTTTCGTATTTCCAGCCAAAATTTTTACATGCCCGTGCATGTAAGCCACGCATACCTGGAAATGAATTTGAAACTTGCGTGTGGACAGGGAATGTTCCCTTAAAGTTTCAGCTTTCCAGCTTTTCTACTTCTGGAGTTAACAATTTTTTCGCAAGAAGTTTCACTTGATTGCACGCAGTGCTTAGACTTTTAAGGTTTGTACCATATCTCCGGGATGGCCCTTGGCTAGGGAATCCACTGACGAAATTTCATCGTCAAAGATGGCTTGGTTGCCGAATTAAAATACAGGACAGACGCATATACAAACATACAGAGCGGTGAAAATCCTTAGCAGGCAACGTTCGCTGAATGGAAATGCGCAAAACGCGTGGTAGCACCGGTACGCTGGTGCGCGCCGCTATTTACGTGCATTTATTGTGCTGCTACAGTGAGCAAAAACTCATATTGTCGAGAAATCGTCCGCGTGTTTGTTCGGAAACGAGTGAACTTTGTGACTCATTCACAGCTCAGCAACCGGACAAGCTGCGAAGCTGAAATTTTGTAGGGATATTCTATATTCACGTGGGGTCTTAATTCGTCTTGGAAGTGAAATTCGCTGCACGCAGATGTAAAAAATACTTAATTTTATCGCAAACCTAAAAGCGTATTCCTCTCTCGACTTCAAATCTGCATTTTTTCAGTGGACGAGCATTCACCAAAAAACGACCAGGCTTTATGCAAAAGACTGATAATTATGCACGCTGGAGGTCTGTGCGGGTCCATAATGCAGCACCTTCATCCCAGCTGATGCCCTTTTCGCCTGCATGCGAGGAGGCGAAAGCAGCCAATATGAGACCAAGCGTTAGTCTACAGTGCAGGGACCATCCCTACTGTTAGCGATCTGCGAATTTAGCGCAAAAACGCGCGACCAGCAAGCCTGATGCGCTGTAACCTGCGTTGCATTTACATACATGCAAAAACACATTAAAATCCCTTTGCAATTGTTACTCGCCGTGTAAAGAAAAAGCGGTGACACCTTTTTGCGACAGGAATGTTGAGAATGTTCAGCAGCAGCTACCTTTATGTTAGTTTTACTGACGATATGCTTTGAGGGTGTTGTAGTACGCGCTGTAGTCAGACCAGATGAAGCAGTGAATTGTTAGGGGCAGATTTTTGGTTTAAAAAAAGCTTTAGTAATATTCACTGCTGGGTTCAAACCATCATGCTACATAAGTTTCTTTGATCCACACAATGTTTCAGAGATACCATAACCTGGACAAGTTGGTGTCCTGTGTTACCTTATTTGCATCTCGGCCATCCGGTGTTAGATTTGTGACGGTGAGGGGATGCGCAATGAAATCTGGAATACCGTTACAGTGCAGACTTTGTACGCATCAATTCACTTGTGCAGCCGATATTGAGAAGCATCAAATAACTGAACATCCAACTGATGTTACAAAGTTGAAGTGCCCGGTGTGCCCACGCTATTACGTCACTGATCTTTTCTACCGGTCAGTTTGTAAGCGCTGAGAAAAGGACAGTCAATTTTTGTTTAGCATCGGTTCACGCAAAAATGCAAAACGAACGCTATTTGATGTGCCGTAAGGGATAGTATAATCCAGCGCCCTCTGCATTTTGTTTGGCCCAGTGTACGGAACTAGAAAACAAGAAGATGACTATGGTTCAACGGATGTCGCTGCGAAACTTTCTAGACTTATCATTGTGCATCCGTAGCGGTAAACCTCTATTGAGGAATGAATTCATGAATGATTTCTTCTACAAATCGATAGAACATAGCAGGATAGAGTACGCAGTCTTCAGATGAAAAGGTTTCCAGCAACAACGACATTAGCGTCGAACTCATCAGAAACGGAGGTTAAAGTTCTCGCGCGCCCGTTCGGGCATTGAAATAGTTCTCGCGTTCCCGTTCGGGCATTTTACCCAAAGAGAGGTGTTCAGCAGTTTGAAAGAGTTTTAAAAAAAAGATCTGAAAAATTACTGCTGGATTTGTTTATTCTGTCTTATGTACAGACTGTTCAAGAGAGTTATCACTAGGCGGGTAGCAAGACTATTCAATGGGCAGCAGCTGAGAAAGAAGTCGGGTTTCTAACTTTCAGTAGCAAGATGGATCTCATTTGCAATCTAAATTAACTGCGAGTAAGTATTGACTTCCTGTCTTTAGGACAGTTTGTGACAGTTCATAAGCTATAATGAAGTAGTTTGACAAGTAATAGTAAAAAACATGACGAATGGAATAACTGCCTGTAGTGAAAGGATAAAGCGGAAACAAAAATTTAAGATAAGGGATAACTGAATCGGAATGTGCTACTAGGCAAGTGCTACTGGCTAAGCTAATTGAGACTAGCCACCATTGCTGCCTGAAAACATCTCTTTAAAATTTCAGCTTTCTAGCTTTCCTGGTTTCTTAGCAACTTACCTGCGAAAAACTTTCACAAGCCCGTACATAGGCACCACGCATACCCGGGGACTGGATTTGAACTCATTAATACCTACGTGAACGTGGAACATCTCCCCAAAATTCCAGTCTTCTCGCTTCTCAGGTCCATTTAGAAACTTGCCCGAAAAAAACTTTCACGGGCCCGTACGTAGATACCACGCATATATGAGGGCTGAGTTTGAACTCATTAATACCTATTTGGACGGGGAACTTCCCTTAAAATTCCAATTCTCTAGCTTATCAGGTTCTCAAGTTAGCAACTTACCCGAAAAAAACTTTGGCTGGCCCGTACGTGGGTACCACGCTGGTAAGAGCGCCCATTTTGAAGATGGTGGCCCGTGTACGCACGTAGATTAAGTTCCCAGAGTTTCAGCCCTGTGGCTTTTGTAGGTCTCGAGATGAAAAATCGCTACAAACGAACACACAGACACCCACACACGCAGAGACAACTTCTCGTCAATATGTGTTTTCTGCATTGCATAGATGCAAAAAAACGCATAAAAAGCATTTGATAACATAGACTTGAATACGAGTTGAAGGATTAATAGAAATTATATGGAAATTGTTAAGAAACTGAGCATCGGTTGTAGGCTGGGCATAACGTTTTCTTTTGCTCCCATAGGAATATTGAGCAGGGAGAATATGAGGCAGGGTGATTTCGTATCGTCCATCTTTTTTACGTGCTGTCTTAAGATGGGAAGCTAGATTAGCATAATAGTGTGGAGATCAGTAGCGATCAGTTAAATCATGTTCTTTTGTGAATTAAATAATTCTTGCTGCAGTTGCCTCTCGTGAGATTGCTGAGATGCTGCAAAGTAAGAAGCAAAGGCGGACACACATCTAACAAAAATTATTGATATGCTGATGGTCAGATTGCCGATAGGAAAAGTTTGCTGGAAAGAAATGAATAGTTTCGTCTATGTTGGCACCACAATCTCTATCTCAAATCTGGAAATGGAGGGACGTCGTTTGGAGCAAATTTTGTGACGTTGTCTACCTTCTCAATATTTTGAACCGGAAGGGCTTTTTTCACCTCTTCAGTTCCGCATTGAACGTGATGACATACGGATATCTTGTCAGAAACAAAAATTCTCTTGGCTGGGTGATGTTCGGGGTTTCACAGTAAAATTCAATGGACCAGACATGTTACTTGCCTTGCTGAAATGTAGAAGACGTCACATATTATCCGTGTGGAAATAAGCAGTCATTTGAACTAACTGTTGAAAGGTGGTGCACATATATTGAAAAGGCGATAAGTCCTAGCTGAAAATGCGCAGTTTAAGGTCGGAGAGTTTAGTGTAGCTGCATTAAGCTTGTGGGTCCATCCTAGTAATATCTTTAATAAAGGATTCCTATGTTGTCATCCGTTTGGTCGTTGGAGTTTTTGATTAGATTGGAAGGGAATAAAACGAAGGGACAGTGCTTATGAGGGCGAAGAGAAGTATGTTTGGAATAACCAAGTTCAGAATATAACTTTGTCGAAGATTCCACACCGATTATCGTTTGTTTCACAATTATCTTTCTTCGTTTTATTTGTCATTTTGACTAGCGTATTTTAGAGAGCATCTGTTATCTCATCTGGGCGAAATACAGTCCATGACGAGCTTACTGGAGAAAGGCATCTTCTTGGCTCCTGCGTGTTCATCAGATACATGCCCAAGGATGGGGCCTTTGCTCCAAAGAGTTGCTGGCGGCATTGTACCACCTTGGATTGAAAAACCAACAGATGTTTGTTTCCCGTTATATATATATATATATTTTTTTTTTTCTGGCAGCTTTGCACTGTATTTGATGCTTTGAGTGTGGTGGGATTCCATAGAACGTTTCGCAGCATCAGAAAACCATTTAATCGTATTGGAATGGGAACATTTTTCTTCCACCAGATGTGCATTTGCATCAACTGAGACAGGAGGAAATGCTGTGCTAGTACTTGCAAAAAATTATCAAAAACAGCTATTAATTGGGAAGCAGTTAACTGTATTGAATAGCCTGAAATTGTCCTCTTCTTGCTCAGCGGTATCTTTTTTGAGTTCGCCGTGGCGTTTTTGGTCGAGCATCTTTTATCATCATGTTTCTCAAGGCCATCGTTTTTTCGGCGTTCTAGCCCCCTTGCTGATGGCGACACAGGCAAGCACATGTATTTGCCTTTGTAATACATTACATTGATAACTGTTGAGTAATTTTTTTTGGAAATAACACGTGTGGTGGTAATTCATAAGCACAAATTGTTATAGATTTCTGACGATGAAGATTTGTCTGCTGACGAATCATTGGACATAGAGAAGGATGAACCGGAGAGTAAGAGGCAGAAGCTCAAAAACGGTGACAAAAAGCTTACCGAAGGCCTATGCTATTATTGCAGGCAAGCCAAGCAGGTCAGATACTCATATTTTTTCGCATTTTTCCCGCTTTTTGTACTCTAATTATGCCAAAACTAGGGCGAATATGTTCTTCATTCTTGTACTTAGCAAACGTATCAGAACAGCCCGGGCTATCATTGTGGTTCTCCAGCATTAATGATGTTACTAGGATACTTAAATACGCCGAACGCAGCTATGCCGGGCCTCTTGATCCTGGGATTGCATACCTCCAGTTAGTACCTATCGTCTGTTCGATGTGTGCAAACCTTTTTGGAAACCATGTGAGAGACCGTTTGCTTTTCGCAGATATCGTGCGCTAATGAGCGACGTTCTTCGGCTGTCGGCAAGGCGATTGGCATGCTTTACCCAACGGATTTTATTTTCTCATGTAATCGCAGTGATATCTTACAAGCTGTTCATTTGACGGAGATCCGATTATTTATATGATCGCGGAGATATACCTCAAGCATCCTCCGCTGCATCGTCCGCTCCGTCACTGCTAGCGCTTGCTCTTCAGCTTTCATGTTTAACCGCGGTCCCGCATCCATAATTTATTGCTTTCAACACAGTGTTTCGAGGAGGTAGGCACAGCCCTTCCGGTTTGACACTTTGAGGAAATCGATGATGCCATGGAATTCTTTCAAATTGCAATCTCCAGCTAGAGATTGTGGCGCATATTATTTCCTGCTCAAGGTAGACATAGCTGTCAACTTCTTCCAAATCCACACCGCCCATCTGCAATCTTGTCGTTGACATCCCGGCACACTGCATCACTTTATTTGTCATTCCGTTGATTTTCAATGTGATGGCGAATGGTCTTTGTCACTTACTTCCAGCTCAGTAATCAGGAAAGCTGGGAGGCTCAGCTTTTGCGAGCATGCTCCTGGCATATGCGTCGTCCTTGTGCCTGAGATCATAGCTGGCGGCAGTTTGGATCTCACATACGGACACTGTAAAAGTGTGCAAATTTTTTGGCTGGAAATGGTTCCGAGAATCAAATAAGCTAGGGCTTTCCTTGTCCATGTTTGGGCTAAAGATTTCAAATTCAGCTATTGCGCAAGCTTGCACCACGCGTAAAGCCACATCAAATTTCAGAGTTGGCACCATGCCAGCCCAAGAACTAGACGGGAAATAATAACTGGAATTTTATCAAATCGTCCATCTTGGAAGTCATTTACCCAAGTCGCTTTTGATTTGCACATGTGCTACGCTTTAGGGGTCGTCAAAGATATTTTTAGCGTAGTAGCCATTTCGTTTGCCAAGGAAGCTGCGAAACTATGACTTTGTAGGATATTTTGTGTTCATTTGTAGTTTTAATTCAATCTGGGAGTTAAATTCTCTGTACTTGGACCTAGCAAAAACACAGTTTTATCGCAGCCTCAAAAGCGAATGCATTTCGCGAATTCCGCAGTCCTTCTTTTCCGACGTCTTGTGCACTGTCAAATCTGCATTTTTCGATGGACGACCGCAGTTGTTCATTCCTCTTTGTGCAAAATTGGTAATCATGCACGTTGGAGATCTACGCGACCTCATGATGCAACAGCACCATCCTAGCCCATGCCTTTTTCTCTTTGCATGCAAGAAAAGGCTAAAACAGTCCAATGCCGATAAGACATGTAGAGGTTAACCTGCATTGTGGGCATTTTTTACAACGCAACTAGCTTTGATGGGTTTTTTTTTTGCATATTTCTCTTTCAGTTATCATTTGATATGCCATCATACGGTTCTTGCCAACGATGCGCAAAGGGAACATCGAAAGCAGCGATAGATGAGAAAAACGACCTGCTCCTTTCACTGACTGAAAAATTCTCAAGAGAAGGGCGACTTTATGTGAATAAAAATAGTGTTCTAGATACGAGTATCGGTGCAATTATCGATGACAGGTAAGTGTTTGAGATTTGTCAGGAAAATTTTAAGACATTTATGTTGTATAAAACGCAGAGACATCTGGCATATACAGACTTTTTTATGTATGTGTATATGTATGTATGTATGTTTGTATGTGTGTGTGTATGTATGTATGTATGTATCAGACAAATGGGAAGTTGCTGGTGCGTGAAAAAGACCCCACTAAAAGAGCTGTATTCGAAGTCTTTTAGTTGCACGTGAATAGAGAACATTCCCGCAAAATTCCAATATTCTAGCTTTCCTTGTTTCAAAGTTAGTGATTTTCCCGCCCAAATTTCCACGTGTACTTGAGCTCGGGCCGTTCTAAAGGGTTGAGTTTTAAAACTTTTGGCATGCGTGAGTAATGATCATTCCCCTGAAGTTTCAACCTAGCTTTTCTTGTTCTCGAGTTAGCAGTTTTCCCTTCAAAATTTCCACGTTCCTGTAGGTGAGTACCGGGTAATTCTAAGAGGCTGAATTCGAAACCTTTTGATCGTAAGCGAGTAGGCAGCATTCCTTTAGAGTTTCAGCTTTCTAGCTTTTCTCTTTCCCGAGTTAGTAATTTTGCCGCCAAAACTTTCATGTGACCGTACATGGGTGCCGGCCGCCTCTAAACCACTGATTTTGGCCATACATGAGTAGGGAACATTCCCCTAAAGTTACAGCTTTCTAGATTTTTAAGTTCCCGAGTTAGTGATTTTCCAGTCAAAAGTTCTACGTGCCCATACGTGGGTCCCGGACGACTCTAGGTGGCTGATCTTGAACACTTTTGGTTGCACATGAGTAGGGAACAATGTCCAAAGTTTCATATTTCTGGCTTTTCCTGTTCTCAAGTTAGCAGCTTTGACGCAGCTTCATGGTCCTTATTTGGGTCCCAGGCGCTTCTAGACAGTCGGCTTCGGTCGTACATGAATAGGGGGCATTCTTCTAAAGTTTCAGCCTCCTAGCTTTTCTCACTCTCGAATTAGCAATGTTCCCGCCAAAACTTTCGCGTCGTACGCGGGGCCCAGATGTCCACGAGGGTTGGTACCACGATCCTGGGATGGCAGTTGGCTGGGGAACACACTGGCAAAATTTCAGCTTCACACTCGCGTGGTTGTCGAGTTGAAATACCGGACAGATGAACACAAACACGCACTGACAAGGTCGATGCAATATGCTTTTTTGCTGCCTGTTGCAGCGTTCTAGCGCTGCACGGCAAAAACGCATAAAAAATGGAAAAGTTTGGTGAGAATATGATATCTGAGACCAGATTAGATAACTGATGCTCTTTATCTTTGTGTGAACAAAAGATTTCAAATTCAACTATCATTCGCGCTCACACCTACACGTACTGGTATTTCAAACATCGTTGGCAAGAGTGCCGACTCGAGAACCAAGTGCTGGGGAACTTTGACGTTAAGAGAATATTTGTCTTCCATGCGCGGGCAGGTGTGCGTAAAATGGGCACTGGCATAAGCCTATTTTGCGCCTTCGGGCTCGTCAAAGAAATTTGTAAAGAAAAGCGATTTTGCCAGTCACTTAAATTAGGAGGCTGAAATTTTGCATGGGTTTTCCATTTCTATGTGCGACATCTAAATATTTTAAAACCAGCTTTAAAGAACTCATAAGTCCCGCGCACGCGGGAGCGAAAGCTTAACTCGGGGTATGCTTGGTACCTAATTAATTCGGTAATCAGACTGAGCAGAAAACATTTTTTTTGGAGGATGTTTGCTGTTAATTTTCGGGCCAGCAAGCCTAAAGTGAGCTATTGCTTGCAAACTTATCCTACAGGCACATCAAATGCTCAAACTGCAACACTTGCGCTATACTTTTTAATCATACAAGCATGAAAGCTGAAGTTTTTTGCAAATACTGCTCGATTCTGTAGAGCATGGCAAATGTAATAAATGTTTTCATGCATCTTAGCGTTTCGTACGGATACGGCGAATTTCAGGTTGCAGAAATGATTGAGAGTAACGGCAATACTGGCGTGTTTTGCTACTGAATTTAAATTTTATTGCCTAAAATGTTTTTTTTTTTTCAGTGTTTTCATGTGCGTCAAATGCAACGGTCTTCATTTTGGCAAGGAACATATTCTAAAGCATTTGCGTGTTTGTTTACAAAAGGATATGGATTTACCGGATTTGGAAAAGAGTTTCGATCTAGCTGATTTTAGCGTTGTAAGCACATTTCTTTCTTTTTTTTAGGGAACCAACTAAATCATCTGCACCACCGAAACTGACGTAGAAATGGGCCTCGC